GTGAAAATAGCTGACTCTATATAAGTTCTAGATATCATGATCTTTTATAGTATTGATTAGACCATCTCCAATCCATAACTCCATTTTTGCAGGATCTACAGTACATTTATCTATTTTTGTAGAGTCTGCTACAATAACTAATCTCCAACCATATCCTCTATATTTTTGCAGGGTCTCTTCTCCAACCATACCCTCCATTTTTGCTGCAGGGTCTACAATACATTTCTCTATTTTTGCAGGGTCTGCTACAATAACTAATCTCCAACCATACCCTCTATTTTTGCAGGGTCTGCTACAATAACTAATCTTCAACCATACCCTCTATTTTTGCAGGGTCTCTTCTCCAACCATACCCTCCATTTTTGTAAGGTTAAAAAATATTTTCTTTATATTTTATTTTACATCATTTTTAAAATTACAAATAAAATTTAATATTTTATTATTTTTATACATTTAAGTTATAATAATATTTTTAATTAATATTTTAAATATTATACCGATAAATTATATTATTAATATTCACTACAAAAAAATATCAATTTTGTAACAAAATTTTTTCGTTGTTAAATCCACTTTTTCCGTTACTAATGATATTAGAGACGAAATTTGAGATGAAATTGCTTTAGCTACGTGAACTTTAGTAATGAAATTCCGTTACAAATATACTATTTTTTTGTAGTGATTTTAATGTATATTTAAATTAAAGCATAAAAATATTAATATTATTAAAAATATAAATATAGATTAAAAAAAATCAATATTATTGGATTAAACATAATTAGTACAACATAACTAATCGGTAGAGTTACTATACCCTTCCCATATATGTTCAATTAAAAAAATTAATGCAATTTTTTATTTTGTTGATGATATTTAAAAAAATTAAAAATTAAATAAATATAAAAAAATAGATAACTACATAAATATATAAACAATATTTTAAAAGTAGATAATTATATAAATAAATAGATAATTTTATAAGTAAATAGATAATTATATTTAAAAAAAAAAAAGAAAAAATGCACCCGCAGGTGAATTTTGAAAAACTGCAGGGTAGGTTGGAGGAAAACCTCCTCGGTTGGAGATGATCTTAGAGTCTAGCATTCAAATTTATGGTTCAAAATAAACTAAAGTTTGTTATTAAAAACCCCAACTTGAACTAAACTGATTATTTTATTAATAAATAAATAATGTTTGACTGGTCGCACCGTCAATTAAATATTTCACCTATTCCGTGATCATAATTTAATGTAATACAGGGGAATGGATTGTCTCCACAGGGATTGTGTGATTCACTCTTTCGCGTTCTAATGCAGTAAATAAATGGGGGAATTTTCTTTTATTATCTAATAAAAAAAATAAGAAAGCAATTAAATTAAAGAGGAACTGACTATCAAGGGGATGTCAGGGTAAGGATGATGCAGTTATGACACTTGTGTTTTTATCATTAATTCAATAAAGTTAGTTCTTATTAAAATATCAATAAATTGGTTATAGTAATCAACAAGCTCTGACAACCAATTTTTCCTTACAGTGTAGGTAATTAAGGTACGACCGTTAACTACTCATAGTTAAAAAAATAAACTTAGGTGCGCCCATAAGAAATATTGCCTAATCGCATTCTAATCTAGAAAAACCAAATTCAAACAATTACTACCTAAGAGGAAAAATTAGATTTGATTGTCTAACTCCCGGGAAGTTCAACCCGGTTGTTACCTATTCAAGTGCGAATACAATTACGGATATCCTACCTGAATTGACTTTAGATTATCAGACTAATTCAAATATTGGTACCAAAATATCCAATCAATATCACAATCACAAACGTTATTATCAGAATTAGACAAATATTGATAATAAAAAAGAACTTTTATAAAGAAAATTAAGAATCTCCAAAACAAAATAACCAAAACATTATCACCCTTCAAACCAAAAAAGTATCTACTCCATAATCAAATAACAAGGAACAAAAGAGGAAGATAATGTCATAGTGGGAGGGAGAAATCTTCTTTGTCGATTTGCTCATGCGTGATATATGAGTTTGTCAGTCTTTGCTCTTGTGCTTATCTGCTCTGGCCGTTCTGTCTAAAAAGTGTGATCCTACATTTTTATTTAATTTTTGCTCTAATTATTTTGTAGTTGGACTTTTGGGCCTTTAATTAAATTTTCATATCAAGAGGGCGTAGTTAGTCATGGCCATGAGTAACTAGGTGGTGCAAATCTGAATTTTTCTTTACTTTTTCTACCAATTACGCCAAATTTGATATTTGTCCTCTGCATATAGCAAATAAACAATACACATATAAATTAGGTAGAATCCAATCAAAATCACTCAAATATCGCATATAATATGAACATTTAATGCATGCGATTTCTAACTATCAATGTTCAACAAATAAAAACATAAACACAAATCAAGATCATTTAACATTTTAATATTACTAAACAAACATTAAACGGAAAAAAAAAGAAGGAATCCGAAGTAAGAACCCCAAAAATATGTTATGTTTGCAGATTCTCATAATAATATATTTTGGCATTCAAATTTGTTTTGATTTCAGTATAATGAACTGATATGACCAAAAATAAAAAAATAAAAAAAAAAAAAAATTGAAAATTAATATCACATTCATGTACTTATATAAAATGTTATTTTCCAATAGTTAATTACTTAATGATATTTTGAAGATGTTTTAAACTAATACACACTTTTAAAGCAACGATGACAAATGACATTTTTCAAAAGTAATAACTGTTAAATTTCATGTTGCATTAATTATAAGGTCAGTATCCAATGAAATGTTACAGTGCTGAATTTGAAAAATCAACATAAAATACAGAAACAACATAAGCATATATACAATATGTGTTGTTTATTCATAATTACAGTGTATGTTGTGCTAAAATTAAATATTGTATGTATTGTGTGAGACTATATAATGTGATATATATATATATATTTGGGAAGAAATTAAACATTTTATAGTTTTATTAGAAATAGATATGATGCATATTGTTCATATGATTCTAAATTGATGGTCAAAGTTTCATTCTGGTTTTTAGTTCAAATGTAATCACGAAAAAATAATAATTAAAATCAGCTATTTTCAGGTTCTCTTTTGAGTCTATATTTTGTAAAATTTCAATTGGAATTTTTTCTTTGTCCTCACTCACATGTACTTTGAGAGACTTTTGAATGGTCACTCATCTTGAAATTAATCTAGAGTTCTCTCGGTAGCGATCCTTAAACAGAATGTACATATTATTATCATAAGTAGTCCAATCAATCAATTTAATCTCGTATAACCTATCACTGGCTGATTCATGTACGGAAGTTAGCTTAACATCGATCCAACTACGGGTATCACAATTTTATTTTCAATTCATTTTTTAGAAAACAGTAAAACGAATATATGTGACTTACTAAGTATTGAATAGGGTATTCGGGTGCTTTCTTTTAGTTGTATACATATGTTCTATTGCGATTATATATATATTCTGAAAACACATATAAAATTGATAAATTGAAATTAATTATCTCAATTTGAAATTGATAAAACTATAAATAAAATGAACAAATAAACATAAATAGTGGTTTCAAATTTTCTGGAATCAAAGTCTTGATATAGATGGTTTGATGTTAATTCGATATTTTGACAAATTGAAACTAATTGCTCAAATTATGTGAGCAAGTCTACTAAGAACATAATATGCATTCATCATAATTAAAAGATCTCACATGATACTAGGAGGTAAGGTATTAAAGATACAATAAATTTATTAAGTACTTCTTTCCTTATAAATAATGGTTGAAAAATTTGAATTCAACACACAACTCAGACTTCATTCTTAGATTCACAAGTTCATTGTTGCAGTGAGAATGAATCCTCCAAAAAAATCATTACTTGGTAAGTTTTCATTTATCCTATTTGTACTGGGCCTAATATTTATTGTAAAAAATGTCAAGCTTAAGAACTTGAAGAAAGAGTGACAAATAATGATGAAAGTACTTATTACAATGATAAGGGACTTCTTAGTGGAAGTTATAAATTTTCGTCTCCAACTAAAAAAAATGGAAAACTTGGAGAATATAAGGCAGTTGATACCGATGAAGGTGTTTACTTAAATGATAAGGCACTTCGTAGCGGCGGTCAAAGATTTTTGCCGCCAACTAGAGCATTTGGAATACTTGGTGAAAATAAGGTCGTTAATGCCGATAACGGTGTTTACTTTACTGATAAGACGGTTCGTGGCGGTGGTCAAATATTTCTACCTCCAACTAGAACATTTGGAATAGTCGGTAAAAATAAGGTCGTTGATACCGATGAAGGTATTTACTTAAATGATAAGACGGTTCATAGCGGCGGTCGAAGATTTATGCCTCTAACTAGAGCATTTGGAATAGTTGGTGAAAACAAGGTCGTTGATATCGATGAAGGTGTTTACTGATAACTCTTGATTTTGCCATATTTTATAGCTTATATTTATTTAATTATTTATTTATTTATGTCAAATTTTGATATCATTTATGTTAATTTATTCTAATAATTGTATTAATTTCATATTGTTTGTATAATATTAATTTATTAGTTTTTAAGTGCAATTTATAATTATTTTGGTGTATAAATTAAATTAATTGATGTGTTTCTTGAATTATATTTTTTGGCATTATTTATGTGCTATTTAAGTATTTAATTTTAACTAAATTAATTTTATTTAATAAGTATTATTTATTTAAAGAAATATTTATAAGATGTTCATTATTTATATAGGTGAAATAATGCTTGAAAACTGATGTGGGAGCCCAAAACTGGCCTTAAAAAGTGAAAAAATGGCTTCAGAAGCGAAAAAAAGTCACCGGCGTGAAAGTCAACAAAAGTCAACGGTCAACGCCAGAAAGTCAACGCGCGAAAGTCAAAGTCAACCGAGCGCGGAAGACAAGCGATGGCCGCACGGAAGGCAAGCGACGGCCGCGCGGAAGGCGAGCGGCGGCTGTATTTATGAGCGCGGAAGACAAGCGACGGCCGCACAGAAGGCAAGCGACGGCCGCGCGGAAGACAAGCGGCGGCTACATAGGAGTGCGCAAGCGCGGAAGGCAAGCGAGCGCGGAAGGCGAGCGGCGGCTGTATTTATGAGCGCGGAAGGCGAGCGGCGGCTGTATTTATGAGCGCGGAAGGCGAGCGAGCGCGGAAAGCGAAGCGGCGGCTAACACGGAATTCAAGCGGCGGCTGACACGAAAATATGAGCGGAGCGGAAAGCCATACGTGGAAGTGAGCGAAGCGGCGACTGCATTAATTCTCGCTGCATTTATTGCCGCTGGTCAGCAGTGCATTTACTGCGCCGCCACAATAATTCCTGCACAGAATTCTGCTGCATTTATGTCTCCTGCACCCTCAGCTCCTGCATTTACTACACTCTCCTAGCTCTTTTAATTAAAATCCTGCACTACTTTTTAGTCAATTTTTGGCTATTTTTGTGTAATTTTTATTCTAAAACCTTCTAGAAAATAGGTAGTTATTAGTAGTTATATTAGTAGCTATTTTTAGAGTTAGTTATTTATGGTTATTTTTAGAGGTAGTTAGTAGTTATTTTTAGAATTAGTTATTTATTGGCGGTTGTAACCGTCAAGCTTTTAGAAGCTTTTCCCCTATAAATATCCCCTCTAATTGTACAATATATATATATAGACCATAGATAGATATAGATACACCGTAGATATATATATACACCATATATACACAATAATATACATTATATTTTCTCCATTTCTTTTCTTCCGTATTTTTTTATCTAGTTTAATAATATGAGATTTTCGGTTTTGTGTCGCGAGCAAACTGATTTCTCCCCCTTTTTCTTTTAATTTCAGCGTAGTATTTTTGCTAGTAAAATTCCTATCATATTTCTCCACCTCACCTTCACCCAAAAATTCCATGTTCGATTTGAATTGTTTAAGTTGGATTTTGACAAGGTTGCGGAAGGGCGACAGAAGAATCGACTATTTCAGCCCTGTTATGCGCCAAAAGCGGTTTCCGGGTAGTTCAACGTAGCTAAGTACGCGGGAGCCTTGTCGACCTGCTTAGTTGCTGTTCTGAATTCGATTTTGATTAAAGAGAGGTAATAAAAGGGGTAGAGCCACTAGCGGAACGGTTGGAAGAATAATTCATGGGGGATAGGCGGGGGTCTATTGGGTCACAGAGATTCCTAGTGACAGTAGGGTTTCTTGCTTATAATGTTCTTCGCCGGGTGTCGCTGAAGCCTCGTTGTAAATCCCCCAAGATCAAGTACCAACCGAGTCGAGAATCGGCTTAAGCGAGCAAATGCGATCACGTTCATATCTCTGTGCCGCCTCGCAATTATACACATATTTTTCGCTATCACGCCATCGTCATCCCGCTCATTTCATCCATGGAAATCTAGCCATTAAGGAACGCAAAAGTCAGACACAAACGCCTCGCTTCATCCTTTTCGAGATACGTATATTTTATCATTTTTTTTTAGTTAGATTTAATTTCCGCAATTTATCTTTTCAGTTTCTTCGATTGCATTAACTCATTGCACTTTTTCTAATTAAATATAGGATATTCGCATATTCCCTGAGTTCGACCCGGACACTCACCGGTTAAAGAGATTTTTTTATTTTTGACGAAGTTTTTGGAGTGACTACACGAACACACATGACACTATTTTCATTTTATACATATATCATTTTTTTTGTATCTTAAAAGATATTTTAAAAACTCTCCAAAAATCTTCGATCATTTACTTAAATCATAAGGCTATTAGTAGCGGCGGACAAAGATTTCTGCCTCCAACTAGAACATTTGGAATAGTTAGTGAAAACAAGGTCGTTGATGCCGATGAAGGTATTTACTCAAATGATAAGGCAGTTCGTAGCGGCAGTCAAAGATTTCTGCCTCCAACTAGAGCATTTGGAGTAGTTGGTAAAAACAAGGATGTTGATGCCGATGAAGGTGTTTTCTTAAATGATAAGGCGGTTCCTAGTGGCGGTCAAAGATTTTTGCCACCAACTAGAGCATTTGGAATACTTGGTGAAAAAAAGTTCGTTGATACCGATGAAGGTGTTTACTTAAATGATAAAGCGGTTCGTAGCGGCGGTCAAAGATTTTTGCCACCAACTAGAGCATTTGGAATACTTGGTGAAAACAAGGTCGTTGGTGTCAATGAAGGTGTTTACTTAAATGATAAGGCGGTTCGTAGCGGCGGTCAAAGATTTATGCCTCTAATTAGAGCATATGGAATAGTTGGTGAAAACAAGGTCGTTGATACCGATGAAGGTGTTTACTTAAATCATAAGGCTATTAGTAGCGGCGGACAAAGATTTCTGCCTCCAACTAGAGCATTTGGAATAGTTAGTGAAAACAAGGTCGTTGATGCCGATAAAGGTGTTTACTTTCATGATAAGGCGATTTGTAGCGGTGGTAAAAGATTTCTGCCTCCGTTAGGAACCGCCTTATCATTTGAGAAAACACCATCATCGGCATCAACGACCTTTCTTTCACCAACTAGAGCATTCGGAATACTTGGTGAAAACAAGATCGTTAATGCCAATGAAGGTGTTTACTTTAATGATAAGGCAGTTCGTAGCGGCGGTCAAAGATTTCTGCCTCCAACTAGAGCATTTTGAATAGTTGGTGAAAATAAGGTTATTGATGTCGATGAAGGTGTTTACATAACTGATAAGGCGGTTCGTAGCGGTGGTCAAAGATTTTTTCCACCAACTAGAGCATTTGAAATACTTGGTGAAAATAAGGTTTTTGATGCCGATGAAGTCGTTTACTTAAATGACAAAGCAATTTGTAGCGGCGGTCAAAGATTTTTGCCACCAACTAGAGCATTTGGAATACTTGCTGAAAACAAGGTCATTAGTGCCGATGAAGGCGTTTACTTTAATGATAAGACGATTCGTAGTGGGGGTAAAAGATTTCTGCCACCAACTAGAGCATTTGGAATAATTGGTGAAAACAAGATTTTTGATGCCGATGAAGGTGTTTACTTAAATGATAAGGCGGTTTATAGCGGCGGTCAAAGATTTCTGCCACGGACTAGAGCATTAGGAATACTTGGTGAAGAAAAGATTGTTTGTGACAACGAAGGTATTTACTATAATGGTAAGGCGATTTTCAGCGGAAATTACAAATTTTTGCCTCCAGAACATTAAATTTGAAAACCAAGTGACACTATAAAAATAGTCTCTCTACGTGCCGAACTAGAATAATGTCAAAGTTCTGAATAATAGATAATAAATTTGCAAACAAAATATGAATACTTGTTCTTGTATGTAAAATAAAATGAACAAGTTTAAGTTTCCACGTATTAATAAAATTTTCCGTGTTGTTTGAATTAATATTATTTATTGCTTTTGAAGAAACAAAAAAAGTAATTTGAGGCACATCCGAAATAATTTTTTAATACGTGTTTTTTAGCTCTGCAAGTATGCATCATTGTTTTTTTGGTGTTTTCTTATTTATTTATTTATTTTTTGAGATAATTGAGATTACGTAAATTCCTTAAACATTGGTAACTCTACTTCGTTGGAATAGGGGAATTTAACACTCGATAATTGTTGTAAATGAGTTAAATGCCTTGGATGTATTGAGCTTACCACTCATTATCCCTTTCTTTATTTCTCTTTTTATCTTTTGTTTATATAATATAGATTTAATAAATATATTTAATAAATCTTTAATATTTTCTATTTCAATTGACACTAATAATATATAAATATATATATTTACACTTCAACAAATTCAGATATTGTTTTAACAAATAGCGGAATAATTTTGTTTTGGAATTATAATTTATTGGATGTTCGGATAACAAGTACAAAATATATAAATAGAGAAACACAGAGGTTTGTTTGCCCAATTCTATCGAATAAAGATCTGGGTCTGAGGATTCTAACCCATGTTATATTCCACTAGAAATTCATCGAATGATACACCTCAATGCATCTTAACCATAATCTCTCAATGATCAACGTCAAGACAACAAACATACAAGTATTTTCAACTTCATACGCTTTAAGTTTCTTCACCAAGAAGACTCAAGTGTTTCTTGAATTAGTATGTATCATAAGAGTTGCCACACTCACAACACAATCTAATCAAATTACACATTTTTTCTTTCTTTTTTTTCTTTTACACTTGCAAAAGTTTCAAATTTTATATACTTTATGAATATATATAATTTTGGTCTTGTTATATATATTTTTGTTATTACTTTTATATTTTGATTTAAAGAGGGTGTATTTCGATACAATATAAGATAAGTTATCTTATTTTGGGTGTGTTTGTTTTGTATTTTGGTTTAATTTTTTTTTTCCCTCTCTTATATGAGATATAGGAAATTGTATAGATAAAATAAAAATAATAAGTATGTAGTATATTAATTTTTTTGAAAAATATATTGGAAAATTTTTAGATGTGATTCTTGTTAATAATTTTGATGTGATTTTTGTTAATAATAATAATTTAGATATCATGGTAATTGTATATATATATATATATATAAAACAATTATATTTTATTTTTTAAGTTCAAATGGGGAATCATGAGATGACATAACTAAGCTAAACTATTTAAAGGTTCAATCTGAGCCCATATTTTGTAAAAATTTCAACTTGAATTTGTTGTATTTTGGTCCAAAGCAATTGTTATTGTATTTTAATTTATTTAAAAACTTAAAACGAATTCATGGAAGAGATTGACTAACTATTGTAAAGGATATTGAAGAGTTGTTTTCTTGAATAAATAATGCATAGTATAGAAATGTTTTAGTTGTTGTTGGGGTGCAAACCAAGTCCCACGTCGGAAGTTGTGAAGAAAATTTTACACCTTATAAGTCCCAAGTGAACTCCATTAGAATGAGGCTTTTTGGAGGATATTCAAAAATAAATCCGTGCGGATTCAGCCCAAAGCGGACAATATTATACTAGCGTTGAGTTAACTCAATCCCAACAGTGGTATCAGAGCCTGGCAGCAGTGTTGGGTCAGGAAAGGTCATTAATTGGTCCTTGAGGGGAGGATTGTTGGGGTGCTTGAAGGGGAAAAATGATTTTAATAAACATAATAATCAGAATTTTGATTATAGAGAAGGATGCTACACATTACATTAACCTCAAAATCTGCAGAAGAGGTGCTTGTTTCAACCATGGACAATAAAACTGAAAGATAGTCTGAATTATGACAGCCATCTAGCCCATCAGGGTAGATTTTTAGTTTCCTGTGTTTAATCACCAATATCAACGTTTTGAAGCAATAACAAATACATAAAATCTTGTAGCATGATCAACTAACCAATTGTAACCACCAGCAGTGAATACTTGTGATTCGCAATTCAGAATGCAATGCTTCGAAATTTTCATAACAAAATGTGCAGGCAACGCCACTCGGGTTTCCAAACAGACTTCTGCAATGTTTCACAGTAAAATAAAAATCAGAATATAAATCGAAAACATAAGAAAGTGTTGAATTACGAACCTTCGTCGATCGCTTGAATCATGGCCATTATATTGTCGTTTACAATTGTTGAGCAATCTTGGGGTTTGGGGGTTTAGGGTTTTGGAGGCCTTGGGTGTTTCAGTTTATACTATTTAAATGGGGATTTATTACTAGGGTTTGCAATTCGCAATGGGTTTCTTGAATAGGCCCTCGTCTCGACTTGGAACAAATCCATTTAATTGATGTTGAGTTTATGATCAAATATAAGTTGGGTCCAACACCAAGATAATTAATGGAGTCCGATCATGGCTTTATGGCTTTATACCTTATCATCGATATTATTTTTATTTAATTATTAATATAAATATAATATTTAAAATGTCATTAATTAATTGGATATATTTATTATATTTGATTGATAGTTTAAATATAATAATAATAATAATAATAATAATAATAATGATATGATAGATTTATAAATTGGAGCCACTTTCACATTATCCTAAATTGATAGAACCTTAGTTAATCTTTAGACAAGAATTTGATTCTGTCAGACTGTCATAATATTGCGCATCATCCTGCATATTTCTTAGTATACGTATGTTTTTGTTAGTTGGGTTAATTTGATAATATTTAAAAATAGTATAGTATGGAATTAGTTTGTCCATAATTATTCAAATTTTAATCCCACGATTTATGGAGGAATAAATATATGATTTATATTTCTGAATGTGACACGCACGTATTTATGTGTAAAACAAATAAATAATGTAATATATCTATGGCTAAATTGTTTTTTTAGTCCGACCTTTTATCATTTTAGAACTTTAAGTGGACCATATCTCAAAATAGTAAAAAAATTTCGCTAAAATGGTCTTCCGGTGTCGGACTCGCCACGTTGGCCAGTCGTTGCTGACGTGGCGCTAACGTGAGTGACATGTCATCGCCATGTAGATGTCATGTCGGAGGACCATTTTAGCGGAAAAATTTTATTTGCAGGACTATTTTCAGATAGAGTCTATTTAAATGTCCTAACAATGATAAATAATATCATATATGAAACTAAAAAAATAGCTTACCAAAATATTTTGTAAAATAAAAAATAAAAAAAAATTCATGTGTCGCTGATGTGGCATCTACGTGGCAATGACATGTTGACCGCGTCAGCGTCACATCAGCAACAGCGGGCCAGCATAGAGAATCCGGCACTGAATGACGATTTTAGCGAAAAATTTTTACTTACGAGACTATTTTCAGACATGATCCACTTAAAATCTTAAAATGACAAATGAGGTCATATACGAGACTAACAAAACAATTTATCATTTATTTATTTATAGAATGTGTGATTAATTAATAGTTGAATCAGCGTGATTATTAAATTATGGTACTTTATTATATGTGATTTACTTGATATATAATTCTATTAATGGATTATATTAAATATACTAGCTTATAACCCTTGTTATGTTATGTATGGGTATTTAAATATTAAATAATATATTATTTGATTCAATTTATATTAACTTTATTTACTTTGAAAAAATTATAAAAATAATTAATAAAAAAATTATATATTAATTACTAAATGGACTTTTTATTTCAGTAATTTTTTAAATTTTCTTATTCAATTTTAAAAAATTAAAAAAAAAAACAATTAAAAGTGGAATCATAAATTGTTCCAAAATTATATTAAAATATCATTTTGCGTAAAAAAAAATTACATTATCTGTAAATCAAAATTAGAAAAATTATAATAACATTATATAGACTTAACAATCTATTTTAACAATGACGGAAAAAAATATATATATAGTTTTATAGAGTAAATTATATTTTTTAATACGTAATTAACTTTATTATTTTAGTCTTGTAATTAAAGTTTATCTTGAAATAACTCCGTAAGTGAAAACTTTTTGCACATTTAGTCCTCCGATGCTGGAGATGCCCACATGGCAACTGCACGACATGCTGGAGAACACATATATGCTAGGTAAGCGCTACCTAGCAGACAAGTAGAAAATATATTTTTTTATTTTTTTAGTTTTTGTAAATTAATATATAATACATTCATGGCACCTCGGAGGACATGTGTCCGCTAGGTAAACGATACCTAGCGGACACATAATGTTTTTCTAAAAAAATAAATTGATGTTTAGGTGGACATGCAGAAATTTTTTATTATTATATTTTTAAAAAAATGATGAATTATTAATAGCATCCATTGGACGCTATCTTTTAGTCGTTATCTACATTGAAAATATGTCTATTTAGACTTGATTTCTTCTATTTTACATAAATATTATATTTTTAGCTTGTTTATCATAGCTTGTAGAATATTTAGTTAATTATGCATATATTTGACCGTCGATGTCTTTTATATTAAAACATTTGTTATGTCTCGATTTATGTATAGAAAATTTATGAGGTTTGGGGCATATATTTCAGGTTTTAAAAAAGTATTACAAATACGGAGATAGCGTGATGTGAGTGTACGAATTAAATAAGATAAACAATGTGTAGGCAGGGAAAAAATAAAAAAATAAAAAAAAAAAAAAATAATAATAATAATAATAATTAGGGATTTGGTGTGGTCTTGGTAAAGAAGTTGAAAAATTAAAGACGCAATTCTTTAGAGAAACATAAATATTGTGCTAAGGGAAAAAGAAGTGGATCAATTGGCGGAAAAAAAAAAGAAGAAAACAAAAAGTCAAATTTGAATTAAGAGAATCTCTAATCTGGACGCACACAGTATTTCTTTTCATACTTGCACATACGTGTTTTTTTCTTTTCTTGTCATAGATTAGGAATCGAAGTTCCGTTCGAAGATTGCTACATTAGTTTTAGTTTAGGAATTTAAGTTTGGCGATTGAACTGAATCTATATATATTTCATCCTGAATCAAAGACGTAAGCTGGATTGGATCTTGAAGTATGAAATTATTATTTATATCCAGAAAGTAGTCATATTAATATATGAAAGCTTAATATTTCTTTTGTTCTTGAATTAAAATTTAAACTTTTGCATACAATGCTAATATCAGTTTAAAGAGAACAACTATTGTTAAACCTTTACACTCTATTCTTTTGATTTCATCCTTTTGTGTTTGTGGCTAGAATTGGAAGATATTTGCACTAATCATCTGCAATGGCCCAATGAGGCAAATTATTTCTTTGTAGTGAAATATAATATTTTTTTGGCCTTCCAAAGTCATTTAGGGCTTCAATTTGTGTTTTTATACTCTATTGACCCTTTTTCAATTAAATTTTCTTTTGGTCTTTTTGCGACTCTACAAATGCATAATTTTCATTCTTTAATCATATTCTTTTTGTTGAAAAAATTAGATCCTCAATCATAAATTATTTTGGATATCTCTATTTGGTGCAATAGCATCATTTGGTACTATAGCAATAAGTTGCTCACGAATGGCTATGAAAACTATGGTTATAGATGTGGTTGTCAAGGTCAACGCATAAGAGATTCCCTGGTGTTGAATAAAAATTAAGTGAATTGAATATGATACTCATGTCATTATTGTGCATATTCCTTTTCAAGAGTCCACTTGAGAGAATAGAAGTCTCCAAAGGTGCGTGTGAGAAAGGACAAAACGTCTTGAAATGACTTGTGTTGACCTGTAGGGCCAGTCTAATCTCAACGTACTCGGTTTGCGTGTCTTACGGATTGAGGTGTTACAATGCCGGTGGGGCTAGTCTAATCCCGACACGCCTGGTACCATGGCTTGCGGGCCAAGGTATTACGATTCTGACGGCGCTTTTGACAATGATCCTCTCGTGCAATATGATTTGTGTGATGAAAAGAATGATGATTTGATGTAAATAAATGTTTGATCGAATTTAGCATTCGGTATGAAGATTGAAATCAAAGAATTTAAAGGTTGGGCTTTACCCGATGAGTTCATCAATTGGGTGCACACTTGGTACTTGTGCTCAATATCAAAAACCTTTTTTAGAGTGAAAAGGTAAAAGCAGTCACACTAAGGTTAATAAAAACACGTGTTTATTTGGTGAGAACACGTGAAATGAGTACGATTAGACAATAGTAAGAATCCAATTTAACCTTGAAAAAGGATTAAGTTGTTGTAATGAAAATTTCTTACATCATATTATAAGTAAGAATATTTTAACGAGTTGCATATCTATAAAATTAAAATCCCAAGATATATAACCCTCCATGGATGCTATATAGGCTTCAATGGGAAAGATATAGTGCTTCGAGTGTTAAGGTTTTGAGCCCATTCACACTGAATATCATATTAGAAGTTATGGCTTTCTAGTGGACGAAGACACATTTCACATCAATGATGAGTCTCTGGAAGATAACGAGGAAGCTATGTAAAATCGAAGATCATGTAAAAATACAAGCATTGATGATCACGGGACATTGAGACACAATAAATAGGATTATAGATGAAAGCTAAGATCATGGAAACATTAATCAAACCAAACTTTGATGCTTTGATGATGAGTGGAGATCAAGGTTGTTCCAGACATAGTCAACACGAATGCGGGGCATCACATATACACAGGTAAAAACTAACTACCCGGATTTGTTCTTTTTTATTTTTTTTTTTCTATATATTTTATCAAAAATATTAATAGATTGAAAATATTTATTATTTTTACATTTCTACACAATTCTATATAACTCACGTAATAAATATTTTGTCAAACTTTTTTCACAAAACAATATTCACTCACTATATGTATATGTATATATATTAAAAAATTATTAAAACTTTCGTACAATAAACCCCTACACTTCAAAAAAAAATAAAAAAAATAAATCTTATATTTTATATAAGCTAAATCTAGTTAGGTTCAATTTGAATGGGCTTATTGAAAATATTTTTGACTTCCTTCTTCGGAAAATATTTAATCATATTTGTATTGACTTTTCTTAAAAAGCATAAGTAATTTTTGGGCTCAAAAATATTTCTTTAGAAGCACCATATTGGGTATTTGCAAATACATAGGTATTTAATACCGAACCGAACAAATACCCGAAATCGCGAACCGTATTCGAATCAAAATTTTTGGTTAACCGAATTTCCGAACCGAAATTTAAAAAATTAATAAAAAATAATTAAAATTCTAATAAAATAAAAATATTTGCAAATATTTCAAATATCCGAACCGAAACTAAACCGAATATAATTATTAATATAAATTTTAAAATATAATAATATAAATATATTCAGAAAAAAAAATATCAAAAACTTAAATCGAACTGAACATAACAAATATCAAATATGGAATAATATTTGTATTCGAACCGAATTTGCTTCGGTTCGGTTCAACTCGGTTCAGCGGTTTGATTCGATTTTTTTGCCCATCTCTGATTTTGAGGGAAAGAAATTTTGATTAATAGTGTAAATCGTCACGAATGCCCCCAACAAACACACCTAAGAGCATTTACAACTAGTGTATTTGCAATAACTAATACTCCCTTCATCCATACGATTGCTTTTGGCAAGGATTTTTTTAGCAATATTGCTATTATATTGAGATTTAAGTAGGAATAAAGTATAAATTATTAAAGTAACTTAGTATTGTATGATACAAAGCTAATGACATTTGTGTAATATATTGTAAATTATAAAGGTATTTGTAACATTAGGTAGATAGTATAGTTACTAAAAAAGTAAATTAATTAATACTTTGTTATGTAACGGACTAAAATGAAAAAATAAATAATTTATTATATAATATATTAAAATGAAAAAAAAAAATGAATGATTTATTATATGAAGTACTAATAATCTACCCATAGTTTGAATATCGCGGCTGCTTAATTTCCTCAAAATTTTAAACGCCAACGTTCTCCGTTCTAATAAATTATTACTATTATACTCTTTTTCTCTTGCTACTATTTTTCTTTAATACTTTCTATTCTTGTGAGCAATAACTTTTTAGATGTAATAATTTTAATGATATTTTTATTATTTTTTTATTTAGAATAATTTTGTAAATTGTATCTGAAAATAAAATAAAATACTTTGTATAAATAAAATATACAAAATTTTAAAATTTTTTATGTTATTCTAATATGCACTGTAGGAAAATATTTTGTAAATTGTAATCTGTCACTTCATTCGGTTTCTACGGAGTCTCGTTGTTTTTTTAGAATATTTTTTATGATACTCATAATAATATAACATAAAAGTAATACTAATAATTTTTTTTAAAATATTTTTTGTGGTACTCATAACAATATAACATAAAAGTAATACTAATAATTATGTCATGGTTTTTTTGTTGCATTATTTAGTAAGTATTTTAATATATATTTCGATTTTTGTTAAATTATTTTTAGTTTTACAAATATAAAATAATTAATATTATTTTCTTTTTAACGTAAACTATTTTACTTGTAAAATATTATTTAATGTATTTCTATTTTTTTAACTATAATTTTAATTTTACAAATTTAAAGCAATTGAATTCATTTTGAATTACATAAAAACTATTTTATGTGTAAAAATATAAAAATTTATTATAATACTAATACTAATTTACTTTTATATATTAAAGCAGACAGTATTTTGTAAATTCGTAATTATCTTGAATACATTAAACAGTAACTAATAGTACCTTTAAAACAAAAAAAGGTCAAACAAACACACCCTTAACTTCTTCTTCTTCTTCCTCCTCTTCTTCTTCTTCTTCCTTTTCTTGTTTTTTTTCATCTTTTTCTACAGTGGCTAGCACAGTGACTTGTGCTTCCAAAATGCAGGTGTCATTCACAACCAACCCTTTTCTAGAGTCTTCCATGTCAACGATGCTACAAAACTTGGACCATCCACAGCCAGGGTGCAAAGGTATAAACCATGGGGACCCTGCATCAAAGAAAGATTTCTGAAGATGGTAAAAACTAAATCGTCCATGACAAAGTATAAATTAACAAGCATGGATGCACAAATCAGAAATGCTGAAAAATTAGCTGACCTCTTGAAGATATGTGCTTATCATTGAGCTGATTTGTTATCTGAATGGAGATCAAAGCCTTCACCTTTTCATATGAAGCAAAATCAACACAATAAACAAAGGCAGAGACACTTTGTCCCTTTTCTCTCGAATCTCCTTTCGGATGTAATTCAACTTTCCTACACTCATCAATGAAATTGCACCGGGGATCACGGAGCACACAAAATGAAATTAAGCAGCAAAATTGGTATAATATAATATATATACCATTTGCAACCACCAGCAGAGAATACTTCCGATCTAAGAGCACCATCCACTTTGGATAATTCTGAAACTTCCCAAATGTACTTCTTTGGACATGCATCTTTGATCACAGACAAAGACTCAATAACCCGTTGAGGACTTAAGAAAAGAACATCAGCTCCAAACACACAGTTGTCATCAACAAGATATCCATTGGATGGATCCTTAAAACATTTCTTAGAAATGAATTTGGAAAATCCCCATTGGGACTTCGCTGTATGGAAGCGACACACTCTTCCTGTCCATGTTTTAGTCAAATCCCCATGTTTGAATCATTTGAACAGAAAATTACAAGAAAATAACTTCTTAAAATTACATAAATATAATTAATTACCTGGAGAATAAACGTAATGGTCTAAATGGTGATTATAAAGTAAGATGCTAAACATTGCATTGACCTCAAAAAAAGTGGAAGGAGAGGTTTTTCCAGCCGTAGATAGGTACACCGAAATATAGTCATTATCTCCACTGTCACGCCCGTTAGGATAAATGATGAGTTTCCTGAACAAACACGGGAATTAGAATAAGAATCCACATTCTACAAATTCTACTCTCTCCCTAGTTTTCTTTTTTGTCCATCCACAAAAAGCATGCTATTTTCCATTTATATATGAAAAAAATAAATCTATCACATATTCTTTAGTTTATATTGTTCAACCTCGTCTTATTTACAAATTTGTTACAATAATAACTTCACCTTTACACATTCAATTCATCTAAATTTTCTCTTTTATCTTTGTTATTTCAACATCTACTTTCTCAAGCATGCTCTCATATAAACATACTTTTAGTGGATGATGAAAGACACTTTTATGTGCAAAACTATACTAAAAGGTCACTGTTAAGCAAAAAAAAAAAAAAAAAACGATTGTGATGACTCCAAATATGAGTATATTCTTAGCTTGACAAAAATGTGTATTACTCGAATTTCTGTATAAAAACCATCAAAATAATTTGTAAACGGCATACATTATTGATCTATATCACTTGGCATGATCCAGAGTTTCTTGTTCAGATTATTAACGATTTTTGCTCTCTTAAGCGGTAGTCTAGTGCCAGAAGAGCTAAGGCAGACGCCACAAGCAACAGCCACCTTCGCTCGCAAGCGCCCAGAAAACACCCTGAAAATACTAAGGCATGAGAGGCAAGCGGCAGCCTTCACCGGCCGCAAGCGACAGCCTCTCCCGCTTGCAAGCGACGGCCTAGACACCCACCGTTGCAGATCAAGTCAGGATTTCAACAAAGTGTTCCAACTGCAGCGGTGTAAAAATTCCATTTCTAGCCAGCACAAGCGAGTCTAGCTGTGCTGATGCCCTCCAACTCTCCAGCAAGCAAGGAAGATCTGTGCCCTTAGCCTTCAACGCAAGCGAAGCGGGCACCCTGAGAGTTATGGCCAGCAACTACTTCAACAGAATAACTACCCGCAACCGCCTAACTGCCCAGCGGTTGGAACCGCCCAGCAACTGCTTGTAACCGTCCCTTTTGCACCTGCTATAAATAGGGCCTGATATCTTTATGTAAAAGAAATCGGATTTTTGGTGATTTCGCCATATATTTTAGCATTCGTCGTCGTCCTGTTTCAGAGAGCTCTAACCCTGTAAGGGAGTTTTCCACAAGAATGGCCAAGGGAGTAGGGGTTTTTCCCTCTCCCTTGGCCAAGTCTTTACTGCTTTCTTAGATTAGATTACTGTTTTCGTTTACAGCTTTGTAGTTCTAGTCTTTCACGCTTTCGTAGTATATAATGAAATATCATTCACTTCTTCAAACTAAAATTCTTTCACATTTTTTCACACTTATATGAATCAAGTTTAGAGAATTTCATTTCACTGGTTTAGAGCGAGAGAAGAATTGATTATCTGAGCCTTGTTATGCGCCAAAAGCGGTCTCAAGGTAGTTCAATTTAGTTAAGTACGCGGGAGCCTTGTCGACCTGCTTAACTACTGTGCTGAATTCGATTTTGATTAAATAGTAGTAACACAGGGGGTAAAGCCACTAATGAGGCAGATATTGGGAAAATTAATGGGACATAGGCGGGGATCTATTAGGTCGCAGAGATTCCTAGTGACAGTAGGGTTTCTTTCTTATAATGTCTCGATTCTGGGTGTCATTGAGGTCTTGTTGTAAATCCCCGGGTCAAAAATTCCATTGTTATGAGTTCTTTACAATTTAGTTTATATAATTACAACATCTTCCTCCAATCATTTCAGTAATATATATATTCTTCCGATAACACACCTGCATCATTCGCTTACTACATCCAGGAAAATCTATTCATTTAGTAACGCACAGATCAGACACAACACCTCTCCTCCACTCTATTTCGCTTATATATATATATATACAATGTGTCACTCGCTCATGTCCCGTTCATCTGGTAACTGCGATTCATCCACGTCCCGCTCATCTGGTCCCCACTTCCGCTCATGTCCCGATCATCTGGTTACCATTGGCACTTCACTTCTCGCCTTCGCTTCGCTCGCTTCCGCTCACCTCACTTTTATTGCTTTATTTACCGTTTTCAGTAGTTAAACTTGCAGGGGATCCTTTTCTGCATTTTTCGTCGAGATTTTCACCCTTGAAATTCATGACTTAAAATCCTTGTGTTCGACCTGGAAACTCACCAGTAAAGAGTATAAATAATGTGATAACTACTCAGGGTCTACAACCACAAAATTGCTATATCTGATCGCTTTCATATAAAATCCTACTAATTTTCGAATAAAATTTCTTGTGAATTTGTATAAAAATTATTGAAACACAAAAATTAGTTATCATAATTTGGCGCCGTTGCCGGGGATTTTAAACTCATGAAAAATATCTGTTGGAAATCTTTTGAAGTGCCATAATTTACCTTTAATTCCATGTAATCGTGAATTTTGTGTTTAATTCATTTTCTAATTTTTATGATGGTGTGGCTGCTATTATGTAGGGGTCCGAAGCGTTTTCAGCGTCCCACGAGTCCTACTCCTTCCGCTTGATCACAGAGACGTCTGTTCAGAGAGCAAGTGTGGAAACAATACATGGCGAATCAAGGAAATGTCACTGCTCTTTCTACTGTCGTCCCAGCTTTCCAGACTGCCGCTGGGACATCTTCAAACTCCGCCACATCTGCATCCTCGCAGGATGTGCCGCTCCACATCCCCACTGTGGTCCCTGTTGCCGTTCCCCATATGCTCACACCGACTGAGGAGCAATTATTGAGAGCCCTCGGTAGCATTCAACAGGGAATGGCGGGGCTGCAAGCGCACCTCGCTCAGGTGGAACAAGCTCAAGCTGCGCAGGGAGCATTTATCGCTTCCCAAGCGGCACAAGCTGCCAACACCGCTGCGATGCCCGCAACCATCACTCCCCCCCCCCCCCCCCCTACTGTTGAGCCTTACCAGAGGGCTGAGGGACACAGGGCTGCTGGTCGCCCGCTTGTTGAAGTCCCCATGGACGTTCACTACCAGTCCCTTCTGAATCACACTTTAATTACAAGTTCTGCGCCAAGAGGCTCTGGCCATTACGAGGTGAAACCAGCGCTCGTCAGCCTGGCGAGCCATAGCCAATTCCATGGGCTACTTAACGAAAGCCCTTATGAGCATCTACAGAACTTCAACAGGATCACTGCCACCTCCAAATCGCACGGCATAACGGAGGACGCTGCCAAACTAAGTTTGTTTCCCTTTTCTTTAACAAGAGAGGCCAGGAAATGGTTTGATAACCTTTATCCCATTCCTGGCTCATTCAAGGAAGCAGCGCAGGCCTTCATGAGTAAATACCATCCTGTTTCAAAAACCATTCGCCAGAGGAATGAAATACTTACTTTCAAGATGGCGAGTGATGAGACTTTTCCTAAAGCCTGGAGCCGATTCAAACAATTGCTCTGCGACTGCCCTCATCATGAAATTCCGGACTTCATGGAGCTTCAAATTTTCTACTTAGGAATTACTCTTGAACTTAGAATGTCCTTAGATGCAGCGGCAGGAAGCTCGTTGATGGGGCGTTGTGCCTCTGAAGTGAGGGCTTTGATAGAGAAAATGGCGGCCAATCAGTCAAGTTGGCCAGAGTCCAACAGGCCCGAGCCATCGAGGGGTCTATACCAGGTCCCTGCTTCCGTATCTCATGACGCAAGGATCGACACTTTGTCGATCCAAGTTAAGGAGCTGTCTAAGCTCATGAAGCAGGACCTGCGTAGTAAAGGAAAACAGGCGCTGTATGAGGCCGCGGAATGTAAGGAAAGAGCTTATGAAGACCAACAAGGTCCGCAGGTTGCTGAGTGCTCAAATGATGAAGCTCAGAACCCGGCGGAGGTCTTTTATATGGCTGGTAGAAATGCCCCTCAATTCCAGCGGATCTAAAAGGGGCAAGTGCAAGGCCCCGCTAACCGCGTCCTCAGCAACAATTTCAGAGGCCACAACAGTTCGCTGCGCAACAATATCATAAGGGGATATTATCCACATCAACAACAATACTATCAAACCCCCCATTTTCCTCAGCAGGCACCTGCATTTGCTCAACCTCCCACAGCGGCACAAGCACCGCTGAGTCTGGAGGAACTCTGGAGGAACACATAGCGAGCGAATCAAGATCTGCTTCGATCAAAATGCTGGAAGTTCAAGTCGGGTAGATTGCTGAAGCTCTGAAGCTGAAGCAGAAAGGAACGTTGCCTGGGACAGTCGAAACTGTCCCGAACCAAGCGAAGGCCATCGAGACCAGAGGAGGAAAACGGACGCAATCGCCACCGCTGCCAGACAGAGGTATTGTTCAATCTCCTTCCTCTATTGTTGCTAATGTGCCTGTGCAGGATGAAATAAAACAGATTCCGTCTAAGGAGTAAGGTCCATCCCAACCTCGAGCGATACCAGCCGTTCAGGAGTCTGAGCCGAAGGAGAGGGGTTCCGCTCAGCCTTTGGCTCGAGCCCCCTTTCCCGCACGATTTGGGAAAAAGGACAACTCCAAGGAGTTTGATAAGTTTGTACATACTTTCCGTAGTCTTCAAATTAGTATACCGTTTGCTGATGCTTTGTCTCAGATGCCACATTACGCTAAGTTTATAAAAAATATAATCAATCGCAAGCGGGCATTTCCTGATGAAGCGGCAGTGGTGCAGCTGGAAAGTGTGTGCAGCGCCGTATTTAAGGAGGACCTCCCGAAGAAACTCAGCAATCCTGGGAGTTTTATCATTATTTGTACAATAGGAAATTTAGAGCCGATTAGGGTATTATGTGATTTAGGTGCAAGTATCAATCTTATGCCCTATTCTCTAAATTAGGGCTTTATGAGTTAGAAGCATGCAGAACTGTAATTCAGCTTACCGATAAGTCAATAAGATTGCCTAAAGGAATCATTAGTGATGTACTCGTGCAAGTGAACAAATTTATTTTCCGTGCAGATTTCATTATTATGGAAATGAGCGAAGACCGCGACATTCCAATCATATTAGGGAGACCTTTCCTAGCCACCGCTCAAGCTACAATAAATGTTGCTGAAGGCAAAATATCCTTGAGTTTAGGTGGCGATAAAGTCACATTTTCCATGAACTCAGCACTGCGCCAACCTCAGGAAGAAGATTGTGATTTTATTAATGAGTTAAATGAAATAATAACTTTTGAGAACCATATTACATTTGATAATCTGGAAGGAATTTCAGATAATGGATCGCTCGAACTAGAAGATAAAAAGGATTCAGCTGAGGCAAGCGACGATATTCAAGCGTCCACTGAATCCATTGAACAAGCGACGAGGGAACCAGCGAGCGAGACCAACAATAAGGATGAGCTGAAGAAATTACCTGAGCACCTCAAATATATATTCCTTGGCTCTGAGGAGAGTTACCCGCTGATAATCTCCGCCTTACTATTGCCGGACCAAGAGGCTCAGCTCATCTCACTTCTCAAAAGGAATCAAGCGGCGTTTGCATGGAAAATCTCAGATATCAAGGGAATCAATCCAGCGGTGTGTATGCACTATATAAGGCTGGACGCTGATGCAAAACCATGCAGACAGCCTCAGCGGCGTTTGAACGAGAATATGCAAGAAGTAGTCAAGAAGAAGATGATCAAATTGTTCGATGCAGGAATCATATACCCTATCAGTGACAACCAGTGGGTTAGCCCAACCCAGATGGTTCCCAAGAAAGGAGGATTCGTTGAACAGACAAGCGACGACGGGGAGGTCTCCATGACAAGACCTGTCATTGGATGGAGGGTTTGTATCGACTACAGAAAATTGAATTCAGCCACAAAGAAGGATCATTTCCCGCTTCCATTCCTTGATCAATGCCATGAGAAGCTCGCAGGTTACGAATACTATTGTTTCCTCAATGGCTACTCAGGCTACCATCAAATTCCCATCAAACCGGAGGACTGTGAGAAGACAACATTTACTTGTCCATATGGGACCTTCGCTTATAGGAGGATGCCGTTTGGGCTTTGCAACGCTCCGGCCACCTTCCAGCGATGTATGTACCATATCTTCAGTGATCTCCTGGACTCCTGTATTGAAGTTTTTATGGATGATTTCTCGGTATATGGCAAGACATTTTCCAGATGCTTGAATAATCTGGAAAAAGTGTTTCTCCGCTGCATTGAGACTGATCTCGTGCTGAACTGGGAGAAATGTCACCTCATGGTAAATGAAGGAATTGTCTTGGGCCATAAGATCTCGTCTGCCGGTATAGAGGTAGATAGATCAAAAGTTAGTGTAATCGAAAAGATGCCAGCGCCCTCGAATGAGAAAGGAGTACGAAGTTTCTTTGGCCACGCGGGATTCTACCGTCGTTTTATCAAGGGCTTCAGTCAAATCACACAACCACTCACATCACTGTTGTGCAAAGATTCTTAATTTCACTGGTCAAGCGAGTGTGAGGAGGCTTTCCGAATACTGAAGGATAAGCTGACCTCTGCTCCTATAATTTGAGCACCAGTGTGGAGTGAGCCATTCGAGCTGATGACGGATACGAGTGATTATGCCGTCGGCGTTGTACTAGGACAAAGGGTGGAGTCTAAGCTTAATGTCATTTATTAAACAAGTAAATCATTGGACTCCGCTCAGAAGAATTATGCTACCACCGAGAAAGAGCTGCTAGTTATTGTCTTCGCTTTCGAGAAATTCAGACAGTATCTTATCGGAAGCAAGACCATTGTTCTCACTGACCATGCAGCCATTAAATATTTGATGGAGAAGAATGAGACAAAGGCCCGCTTGATTAGATGGGTTTTGTTGCTCCAGGAATTCGACATAGAGATCAAGGATAAGAGGGGAAAGGAAAATCATGTGGCGGATCACTTCAGTAGGTTGCGGCAGGAAGAGGACAAATCTCCTGGAATCAATGAACAATTCCCAGATTCTGGTGCAAGCGAAAGAGCCATGGTTCGCTGACCTGGCTAACTTTTTAACTACAGGACAGTTTCCAGCGCATACTGTACAACGAGAAAAGAAGAGATTGCTCAGTTTGGCAAAGGATTATATTTGGGATGAACCTTATTTGTTCAACATCGGCTCAGATGGGATAATCCGTCGCTGTGTAGCGGAATCTGAGATCCCGCTGATCTTGAACGAATGTCATGGGTCCCATGTGGGAGGGCATTTCGCTGGCATGCGCACAACGGCCAAAATTTTGCAGTCAGGCTTCTTTTGGCCTACCCTACAAAGAGACGCAGATACCTTTGCCAAATCTTGCGACAAATGCCAAAGATTGAGATCTATCTCGAAGAGAGATGAGATGCCCCAAACTGAAGTCTTGTTTATGGACATATTTGATGTATGGGGGATAGATTTTATGGGTCCTTTTCCACCTTCTAATGGAAAACAATACATTCTGGTGGCGGTGGATTACGTGAGTAAGTGGGTTGAAGCGCAAGCGTTCACCACTAATGACGCTCGATCAGTGATCCGCTTCCTAAAATATACCATATTCCCAAGGTTTGGGGTCCTCAGAATGATAATAAGCGGTGGAGGCACCCATTTTGTGAATAAGGCAATGCAATCTATCCTTCAACAATATGGTGTTCGCCAACATCTAACTACCCCTATCATCCACAAGCGAACGGTCAAGTGGAAGTTTCAAATAGAGAAATCAAACACATCCTCCAGACCACAATAAATAAGAGTCGCAAGAATTAGGTAGAGAAATTGGATGATGCGTTGTGGGCCTATAGAACAGCCTTCAAGACTCTAATTGGAATGTCCCCTTATCGGCTTGTGTATGGAAAAGCCTGCCACCTACCGCTAGAACTAGAGCATCGCGCGTATTGGGCTATCAAGTATCTCAACTTTGATCTTCTCCCAGCGCGGGAGAAGCGCGCTAAAAGATTGCTCGATCTGACCGAGTTCCGATACCTTGCATTTGAAAGTGCGAAGATCTATAAA